CTGCCCCTGGGGCGGGGGGGCGCGGCTTGGGCGGGGAGGGCTGGCGGGGGGAGCCCCCGCGGGTCGCTGAGGCGAGGCCGGTGCTGCTGCCCGGGCCTGTGCGTGGCTACTAGAGGCGGCAGTGCTCTCGCCACGCTGGTCTGTAGGGTGCCGGGAGAGCAGTCTCGTAGCTCTGCGTGCGGTGAAGGGGTCGGTCATGTGGACAAAACAGACTATTTCCCCCCTCAGGCGTCAGAAGTAGAGCTGTGAGCCTGTGGTGGCGTGTCGGGAATTCTGTTTTTACATTTGGGCGGTGACAAAAGAGACTGCTGCGAAATAAGGTAGGACCCACAAAAGCTAGTCGTGCTCACCACCGATGTCCAGCACGTGTAGCAGCTGGGGTTAAACCTTTTGAAAGAATATTTACGTCAATGACTGAAGGCAGAGGAAACTTATTTTCTTACATGGGGAAGCAAGAGAGGGACAAGGCATGTTATCTCAGATGAAGCATTCATAACTGCCTTAGATCCTATTAGCTCAGACTGAGATTGCTTTCTTTGCAGTCCATGTGCAACTGTCTACATAGATAGTATTCTAAAAATCTCAACTTTCTCTCTCTTTTTCCTATACTGTCTCAATAGCCTGAATATTGGTAAAACTCTTCATGTAGTAGCACAATTAAAAGAGGGAAATCTTACAGTCTAGAATGGACAAAATTGAGCTGAGGTTTTAGTACGTGGCCTGCAACGTAGAGTAGGTGTTCTAACAGTAAGACGTATGAGAGATGCTGGAGGGAGAGAGAACTTACTTCATTTCCATGTTCTTGTGTTTTTGATCTACCGTGTTATTATGCATATAAAACAACTGGGAAGATTTTCACAACGCTGCTTGGCGTTATTACTATTTGTTAGAAATACTTAACAGGGAGTGAACCTGTGGCGTTCCGAATCAGTAGCCAGCTAAAAGCTGGTCAAAAATGTCTTCCACTAGGAAAAATCCTTTCCAGTGGAGATGCCTGTATTTGCATATATGTGATGTCATTAGCCACCTAAAATTAACATGGAAAACTGTGTTAACATAATTTTAAGAAACTGTGCAGCAACTATCAAGCTTTCTCAATAATCCATGTTTTTATATTATATTAGTCAAAACCTAACACAGTTGTCCTCAAACTTCATATAAAACCTTATCTGAAAGTTTTCCTGTTTACGGTTTTTAGAGGAATGCGCTCAGTAGAAGATTAAGATCTTATTTACAAATCAACAGACAATAAACCATAACTAGCAGTCTGCTTTTGCGGTGTACGCAAGAATTTTAAGCTCATTTTAAAACTCAGCCCTAGCTGTGTGTTCACTATGTGATATTTTTCTGGTCTTGTGGCTCTTCCTTATGTTTTACTTTTGTAGGCAGTCTCATGAGAATACTTGTTGTGTTCGGTTCAGCGCTTCTGTGTTTTCTCTCTGTCCTTTATATTTTTGTCTTTGCATTCTTCAACTCTTCGTGTATTTGTGGAGTGTAAGATAAAGGGAATGATGAAGCCTCACTTCTTTTCTTATCAAGATTTTTTTCCCCTCTCTTTCTTCCTTTTCTGTTCTTTTACAGAATTGTTAGTACCTGTGACACCGTACACCAAACTCAAGTGTGAAAGCACAAGGCAAAATTGCACATGGCCATCACTTCCGTGCTGAAGCATTAAATTATTCTGAAGCTGCTCCTCCTGGTGCTGGGTCTGCACATGATCACTGTTCACGCAGTGAGTGAATTAGTAATCAAGAAGCATGGTAGGAGTACTTACTAACAGCAGAAAAGCAGGAATCTGTGGCAGAACTGCCCTTTGTTGAAAACTGGGAAGTTCTCTAGGTAAGTAATGGTGTAAAACTGGTCATGGTTTAGCCATTCTTGAATTGTATTGGGTTTGGTACACGTGTAGTTTTAAGAGGTATTAATCGGCTATACTTCAATAACTTTTCTTTTTCTTCTTCGTTCTTGTAGCACTTTTATTCAGTGATTAAATTCAAGACATGGGGCCAATGAAATATAAGTCAGGTGTGTCCTCGGTGTCCTGTGGTTTGCAATATCACTATTGGTTGATAAAGTGGAGTCCAAAAATGGATTTACACATAGTGAGGACTTACTGCTCATCAGCGCCTAAGAGGCCAGAAGCCAAGTCTGCAATAGAAATGGCCATGAGTCTTCTTAATCGGCTGACAGAAGCTGGGACCGTTATGGGAAAAAACTCTCTTCAAAAAATGTCTGCAACATGCAAGAGTTGGTGGGACAGATACGAAGAGTTCGTTGGAATTAATGAAGTTCGAGAGGCTCAGGGAAAAGTGACGGAGGTAAACGTGGAGATAATGCGGAAATTTAAAAATTATGAGTTAAGCTATATGAAGTATAAACACTGGCTGTGAGGCAAAAAAGATCCTCCAAGGAGAATCGTGTCTTTTTTTTCTGCTTTGACTATCTGTGCAGATACTATGAATGTGTTCTAGTCTATGCATGTTAGTAAATATAGCTTATCCCTTAGATTGAAATGGAGCGTGATTTGTTTTGTTGGTGTGTGTCCCCCCCAAATTCATATAATTAGTGATTTAGATCTGCCTGCTAATAAGTCTCTAAAATAAATACTCTTTCTTCTCAGGCTGAAAATGTCTTTATGATAGCTCGAGGGATAGTACGAGAGGCTCGTGAAAATGTAGAAGCCCAACAGATTAAACTGAAGGAAATTCGCGACCGCTTGGACAGGGTCTCTCGGGACGACACCCAGTATTTAGAGCTGGCTACTCTGGAGCACAGGTTGCTGCAGGTAATTTGTTGGCACTTGAGCACTGGCAAATATGCTGAAAATCTGTGCGCTTTGCTTCTGTCACTAGTGACTGTTTTTGCAGATGCAGTTCAGTTCTGAAGTACAGTGATCTGAGTCAATTTCTGATGATACTTGTTTTAGTCAATTATTATAGATGATTTGATCTGCTATGCAAGTTGTATATGTTACCACTTGTCGTGGTTTAACCCCAGCCAGCAACTAAGCACCACGCAGCCGCTTGCTCACTCCCCC